TGGAGATGTCTCATCCATAGGGTCGCCATGGGTCGAGACTGACTCGAACGCAGTTAACAACAACAACAACAACAACAAACTGCACAGAGGATGCAAGCCCCAAACAATGTGCCAACATCTTCATAGTGGGGAAAGGTCACCAAGCAGTGATGGAGCACATGTTTTGCATGCCCAAGGACCCACTTCACTCTTTGGCAAGTGTCCCCATATTCATCCCTGCTGTGATATTTGGAAGCCAAGTGTTGCTGAGGAAAGGATCTTGTTGGACTCATGGGGCTAATGCACTTGGATTCACAGAAATCACAAGAAGCTATGGAGGAATCATAGAATCATTTGTTGTTGTTGTTGTTGTTGTTGTTATTGTGTGCCTTCAAGTAGTTTCCAACTTATGGTGACCTAAGGCGAACCTATCATGGGGTTTTCTTGCTAGGTTTCTTCAGAGGAGGTTTGTCATTTCCATCTTCTGAAACTGAGAGAATGTGATTTGTCCAAGATCACCCAGCAGCTTTACATGGCTGAGCTGGGATTCAAACCCTGGTCTTCAGAGCCCTAGTCCAATGCTCACACCACTACGCCACACTAGCTCTCTCACAGAATCATAGAGTTGGAAGAGACCCCAAGGGCCATCCAGTCCAACCCCATTCTGCCATGCAGGAACTCACAATCAAAGCATCTCCGACAGATGGCCATCCAGCCTCTGTTTAAAGACCTCCAAAGAAGGAGACTCCACCGCTCTCTGAGGCAGTTTATTTCACTGTTGAACAGCTCTTATTGTCAGGAAGTTCTTTCTAATATTGAAGTAAAATCTCTTTTTCTTGATTTTGAACTCACTGATCCGTGTCCTGTTCTGTGCAGTGCAGAAAACAAGCCTGCTTCATGTTCAGTACATACATAGATTTATTACGGCACATAGCCAGCATAATAAAAATAAATTAATTAATTTGCAAGAATTACCAAAATTACTCAGATAACAGGACAACTGAGCAAATATAAAATACATGATTTAGTATAAAAAAAAATAGTATCCATTCATGGTTTAAGATCTTAATCTGCACAGCTATGAACTACCGCGAGAGCCTTTGTTAACTTTACGCAAAAGAACTAAAAAATTACTTCATAGTCACCATATTATTAAACAGTAATCTGTTAAAACACTTCCGCTCAAGATTATAGCAACTTTTTAAGAGTATTGGCGACTGGTCATATGGGCATTTTATAGTGTCAGCATATCATAATTCTTCTGCAACTACCTGATTAAATGGAATAATCTATATAATATTCAAGATAAAAGACAGTTGGCTAAATGTATTGTACCATCACTTACTCTATTAATATAGGGAACTGGAGGAGACAGAAGACCAATTAATTGACAATTATTTCAATATACCTCTGTGGCAAACAATAGCAGATGCACAGAATCTGGTCACTTTATCAGTTGCCTCCCCATTTTGGTCTGAAAAGAGATATTCTACATAGAATTTGTCTTGTCTACCCAGGAATTTTTGAATGAGAGGAGTTATAAACAAGGCTCTAATATCTTTATAGAAGGAGTAGCAAAGAAGAACATGACAAATTGTTTCTGCTTCGTCAGAACCACAAAGGCAAAGCTGGTTCGAGTATGGAATTTTTTTATATTTGCCATCTAGGACAGCTTCTTAATTTAGGAATACTCAAGCTTTCAAGATAATTAGCAAGTATAAATACTCCACTGTTTTCTTTACATATAAGATATGAAGTTATCTGGCTTTTATGATTTTGAAGATCGATGTCTTTAATACGTTGCGCAATATCAGAATTTGCTTTATTATGGCCCAACATTAGGACATAAGCTCTTGAAAAGCCAATATCAGATAGTTTGGTAATTATGTTTTTATGTTGGCTAAGATCAAGTGTAGAACATCTTCAGTATGACATCCTTTCAAATATTTAAACAGGGCTATCATGTCATCTCTTAACCTTCTCTTCTCTAGGCTAAACATCCCCAGCTCCCTAAGTCGTTCCTCATAGGGATTCATGGTTTCCAGACCCTTCACCATTTTAGTTGCCCTCTTTTGGACACGCTCCAGTTTCTCCACATCTTTTTTGAATTGTGGTGCCCAGAACTGGACACAGTATTCCAGATGAGGCCTGACCAAAGCAGAATAGAGTTGCACTATTACTTCCCTCGATCTAGACACTATACTTTATTGGTGCAGCCTAGAATTGCATTGGCTTTTTTAGCTGCCACTTCACACTGAATTCCTTCCCATGTTGCCATTGATTCAGAGCAGATTTGTCATTGCCATCCTCTGAGGCCAAGAGAGAGTGACTTGCCCGAGCTCACCAAGTGGGTTTCCATGGCTGAGTGGGGATTCGAACCCTGGTCTCTAGAGAAGTAGATGCATTCAAAATGGATGTGAACAATGGAGATTCAAGTCAGATTCATCCTGGATTATTTTCATCATCTGAATTGGGCCATAGTCCAACAAACCACTACATTATACTGGCCCAGTTTTAAACATGCAACTTAAATTATCCACCATTAGATGGAGGTAGAGAAAATGAAATCTGGTATGGGAGAGCATTTAGCTAGTGTTTCCTCAGTGGAGATGGAATAGAGAAATATGAAAAGATTCCTCTTGCAAGACCCCCCCCCCTTCACAACCCCAGTTTATTTGTGATGATGAATTCAAAAAGAAAGCAAACATTTTCAGATGGGATTACATGTCGGAGGGGCTGGTGGCAACAGGATGAAGAGACAGAGGATCCTCTGAGCCATAATTGGAGTTAAGCACGTTGAACGGAAAGCGAAATACTTGAAATAAAATTGGTCACAGAATTGGAAGACTCTTGTGCTTCTGACCTAATTGTCAAGCAAATGAAAAACAGCAGAAGATGAGTGGAGCTGGGGAACACACATGTGCGTGTGTGCATGGGCCTTCATCGCCTGTCACCTTATATTTAAAAATAGTAGGAGTTTTAAAAGAGAGGAGAGAGTTAAAGGGAGAGAAGAAAACCTAGTTTGCTTGATATCGTCGGTACGCAGGATATGAGAGCACAGGAAATTGAGGATAAATATCACTTGCATCACTAGAAACATCAAACTATAGCTAAAATATAGTTCACAGGCCCAACTTTGGTCCACAGCTATACTGCTAAATTAGGAGCAGGCAAATAGTAAAATAGGGGCAGGTGAATTGTTGCCTATGGGCTACAGGTAGCCACTGGTCACCTCATTTGTGGCCTCTAATGCCTTTCACTAGTCCTCCCAAGCCCTCCTATTTTTTACTTGAGTTTTAGGCACCCCCCTCCAAAAAAAGCACACACATCACCCCGACTTTGCATGAAAACAGCAGAAAAGTTGACGTCAACTCAACAGGAATCTCAGAACCACCAACGTCCCCCCAAAACCTCAGGTTCTTTGTGAATTTCCTCTCAAAATAGCAACCGGAAGTGACACCTCATCGCTCCCTGGCACCATTTTGTGAGGAACTGGAAATAAACATAGAAGTATTTGGGCTTGCTGTGTATGGGTAGGTATAGCCTCAGGGGGATTTGGAGGGGGGAAATTGGCCCTTAGCCCCCACATTGTTGCCCATCCGTGTAAGAAATGGAGCCTCCAAGTCCATAGGCAGTTTAACTTGACACTAGGGGCAAGAAACAGGAGAGGGAGGGCAGTAAGATGCATTGCCTGCAGATTTTCAAGTGTAAGCTGGACTACGACTCAAGGCACAAATGCACTAAATAGACTATTGGCCAGATTCAACAATGTTCTTCTTGTTGTGGGATTAATACTGCAGATGGTTCTCTGGGAAGACGAAGAAATGGCTAGAGAAGAAAGTATAGTTGCCCCTCCGTTTTTGTGAGGGATCCGTTCTGGACCCCCCCCCCCATGAAAACAGAAAAAAGGGTTGAATGGGGGAGCGTGGCCCATTTTATCCCCCTCTGTTTCCCGCCCATGAATGGGCGAGAGACATGGACTTAAAGTCTGCAAAAATGGAGGGGCAACTGTATAGGGAATATTTCTCACCACACTCACATTCCCCTCATGTTTGTTGTCCCAGGATTCTCTCAGCACTTTGCTTAACATGGTTGATCTTTCTCTTTCTGACCATAGACTTAAGGGTCCAGTTGAACATCATGAGCTCCTGCATGGCAGGGGGTTGGACTGGATGGCCCTTGTGGTCTCTTCCAACTCTATGATTCTATGATTCTATGAGTATGAGACCTATGTGACTGACAGGCTTCTCCTGCTTTTCAACAGTGATGTATTCAAGTCTTTTACTCCAAGTCTCAAGTCAAGTCTCAAATCTGGGAACCAACTTTAACAGAAGAAAACGAGGCAAGCGTAGAGTTTCAATAACGAAGAAATCAAACCGATGTGCACAGTGTTAGGTAAAAAGTTAGGTAGGCAAATTATCAAGATTCCATTTTGGAAAAATGAGGTCTACTCAGCAGCCTGTCACTGCTGCACATCGGAGGAGCCTTCTAAAGCTTTTGGGAAATGTGAGAAGGATCTTCCCACCTCAAGCCTGTTGCCTAACATGTTTGCTGTTCCCCTATGAGAAATGTGCCCCTTGCTCTTGACTTGAGTTGGGGGGTTAGATCTATTCAGTAGCTTGTCCCTGCTGCATGTCAGAAGAACTTTCGAAAGCTTTTCCTAAAAGCAGCAGGCAAGACAATAGCACAGGATGCATTTCTTGGAGGGGAACAGCAAACGCATTAGGCAGCAGGCTTGAAGAGAGGGTCTACAGAGAGTAGGGGCTTCCTGTACGGCAAACATAAAGTATCAGTTCCATCACATGACTGGTAGGCAAAAAGCAGGGAGATAGAAGCATTGTTCAGAGGAGGAACACCATTTTTCATGCTGTAATGTTTCTGGATGAAATTAGGCCAGCAACTCGGTCCCTAAAAATATACAAGTCATGAAGCGAGTCGAGTCATGTTGAGTTGCTTTGATTGTGCTTTCCTGCATGATGGGAGGTTGGATTGGATGGCCCCTGTGGTCTCTTCTAATTCTGTGATTCTATGATTCTGTGAGTAATTTACTGTTGAGTCAAGTCCAAGGTTAATTACTGAAGCGACTTGACTCTGATTTGAGTCAATTGACTCAAGTTTATGTCACTGCTTTTAATGACTTGCTCTCTGACAAGTTGCACTTTCGACACTTGCAAATTACAGACAAGGTCCATTAATTTGACAAGGGATCTGCTCTTTCATCAATTTGTCCTGTCTACGAGGCTATCTTGTAGTGCTTCATCATATAGCAAATATCTGATTGTTAATTCCTGAGGAGGCTCAACTATGCAGGAGTCTTGGTGGTACAAATTTGCCATATCATTTTGAAGAAGACATCTCCCCAAGTCTTCTGTTGCATGGGGCTCAAGCCCCCCGGCCCCATTGTTTTGGGGTACATGATTTAACAATACAATTTAGGCCCACAAGAAATGTTTAGACTTTTGGATTTTCCACTTACACTATGAACTGAATATGTCTGTTACAGAGCATCCAAAAAATACAACCACATGTGTAGGAGAATTTGCACAGATATAGGACATGACCTCTATGTGTGTGTGTGTGTGTCTGTGTGTATGTGTACAGACAA